GTGAATCACTAGGTGTGAATCATCAGTAATGTGGCTATAGCATGGAGGAAGCTTTTAAAGAATAAAATGTAATCAAGCATAATGTATAAATTAATATGTAGAAACCCAAATAATATGATGATGAACTATTAAGGATTTTATAAAATAAAAACAAACCCTGAAACTCTTTCCAGTAACATAGCCTGAAGCTTTAGTGACACTCTACACTTCTGAAAGGAAGTTGTGCATATTATTTGTGGTCATATTGCAACTGTAAATAGGAAATGTGACTTTGAAGATATTGTTCATCACGAGGAATAAAAATTATTTTCTTCTACCGGATCTGCAGTTGTGTAATGCTGCTGAGCTGTACTGCTGCAATAAATGCAGAATTTATTCTGACACAAAAGGTGTGTCAGGATGGGCCTTGTCAAAAAGCCACATCTGGCACAGACCAAAATAAAAAGCAAAAATATTGGGTGTGCAATGTCTGAATTGTTTCTGCTAAATAAAACCATGTACGATGTGGACTGGTATTTATTCCTGCAGCCATTTCCGTTTACTGTCAGTGTACAGACGTTTGTCATCAGTGGCAATTTTAAATTAACAAAATGGCTCGTTAAGGGAAAAGGTGGTGTTTTGTGAGTAAGATATTCTGAGGACTACAAATTAGTGTCACAAGAGTCATCTCCTTCGATGTTTGGGGCATTTAATGCCTTTTTTCTTTACAGTACTCATTTCGTGATGCTGTATTGGCTGCCTGAAGAAAACTCGGTCAATCGGTTATTGTTTTAGTAAGCTCAGAGAGTAAGCTGCTGTCCACAAATGATTCCAGAAAGCGTTGACACAAATGGAACGACCACATTTACATCTACCTCATGGAAATCGGGCTGTCCTTCAGGGAGATGCAGACAAAACCTCTGAGCACTTACAAAGGAATGCAGTTGAAGGAGACATTATAAGAATTTGAAAAGCAGTCGGTAGTTTATTACTGCTTTGGCTGGAAAGAAGATTTAGAGAATTGTAGTTTTGAGAAACCACAGCCTTGGCCATTTGCAGTGGGATATTAAGTTATATGGGGCTGAGCAGTTCAGTTTCTGACATGTAATGAAATGTTTCTGAGATCCTTCGGGAGCATCTGGCTTTTCTTCCATTTTTTTCTGAGGGACTCCTGACCTGTGGCGGAGTTCTCCACCTGCTGCATTTACCATTTCTCATATGAAAAAAGGCTGCACAGAATTCCCTTTGTGGGGTGCTCTTTTCATGATCCCTAGAAAATCATGAACATTACACTCTCCAGCTGAACTGATTTGCTCCTGAAAGACGCTTTTGGTATTCATATTCAGGAATAAGAATCCAGTGGATTCTTACATTAAATACTGTGGGTTTTGTCTTGTGGTATGAACAGTTTTGCGGTACAACACAGTTATCTAAAAGAAGCTCGCTTTTAACAAAGCTCATTCTTCATCCTTTATTGAGGTTCCAGATTTTTCACTTCCTTAAAATATAATATCCACATTTCCTGGCTCATATTAGATCAGCTAAGCCAGCATGTGTGCATGTGTTTATCCCTTTTCAGATATTAATTAGTTCATTCTCTTGATTAAAAAGCATTAAACAGCACTGGAGTTTTTATCCCGCAGCCCTTTCAATTTAAGACTCAGCTTTGTGACAAGGTAACCCTGCCATCTACTGGAAAGTCTTTAGTAATGACTTTTGTCTCTAAAACTGGGGTGGGGTGGGATGCCTACAGTTTTTACCTACAGGAAAGGACACCTCTGTTCTGGAAAACACAGGCTGAATTCCTGCTGTTCAGCGAAAATGTGCATCTGAAATGTTCAGATGGTGAGTTACAGGAGGAAGCATCGAATATGTAGTAAAAAGGGACTTTTCCTTTCCATCTGGGATCATTGACTTTTCTCTGTCAAATCTTTCTGAATTTTTCATCGTCCCCTCCAGACACTTTTTGGTTAGTGTCCCAGGACCAGGGGGATGGCTGGAGAACCCCCTGGCCTCCCAGTTCTCTGTGTGGTCAGAAAAGCTGGGAGCTTGCTGGGCAGTTGGGGTTGCATAGCTGCTTTGACAGCTCAGAGATTTCATATCTGTGGGTCTGAATTCCAGTTATGCATGGACCCAAGGGGTCATGAAGAATTCATCTGGGAAGATGGGAGAAGCAAGCATCTGGATAGAACAATGAGCAGCTATGAAGGGGAGCTGTGCATGCCTCCATGTTGCACGTCTCCACTTACAGGTGATGCTGTGGAAGAGATGCTGGAGCTCCACGGACTGGTTGGGAGCTAGTTTGTCTTCTTTGTAAGTTACTTTGCAGCTGGTAGGCTGCTGGCATCTGGAAATAGGGGGTTTAGTAACAGGCAAAGACTCCTCCTGGCTTTCTGAGCGCATGCTTTTCTCTCCCTGTGTATCTGTGTGTCTGAGCAGTACAAAGACTTTGTTATAGCACAGTCAGCCATATCCTGTTACATCTGTGCTTCTGGGAGCAACTCACCTTGATGGCATCAGAGCCGACATCTCTACTGACCACAGCCCCACCCCATGTCACGCTCCTCCTATATACACTCCTTGGAGGTGACTTTTGCTTTAGTTATTGCACAACACTGGTTTTCTGCCCAGAATTAAGCCCACAACTTTGTATAAAAGTCAATCTAAAAAGCAAGAAGGATTGTCTTCTCTGAAAGAGAGGGAAACAAAACTCAAGCCAAAACATAAATCAAAATTTGTCACATAAGAGTCAAAGGAATTCATAAATATCTGGCATTAGTTTTCAAGGACTGGAGGCTTAATCAACTGCCCTCCAAAGATTCCCAGATAAATTTGTCTGAAGGTGGTCTGTACCCCTTAGCACAGTACAGGCAACTTCACAAGCTCAGGTACAGCTGTGTATGCTGCACAATGTCCCATGCTGGCAAATAAAGTCAGCTCTGACTTTAGCTGTGCTGGTCAGGACATAATGCTTGATGAGACTCGCATCCAAGCATCATGTGTGGGGTATCTGTATGGGGCTCCCTGCAGAAGGAGTGAGTTTTGATGTGCCAGCACCTGGCAGTGCAGATTTGCCTAACTGGGACTGGCTTTGCAACCACTACAGCTTCCCATTAGCAAGCAGAAGGTTCTCCAGAGTGATTTTAAAGTGTAAACAGCTTTGCAAATGAAGTATATGAAACATATGCTTCAGTTTTGTTTTTCAGTCTAGATTGAAAAGCAAGATGCAACAGGCATATAATTTTAAGGATTATCATGTAATGGCAGAGATACCATCAAAGTCTCATTAGTTCTCTCTTACCTCCACATACTATTTTTCAAAGGAGGTAATACTTCTTGGTAAGAGACTCTTCTATTATGGGGGAATTGATGTAACTTTCTCTCTGATAGCACAAAAGACCAAAATTGTTATCTACTCTTCATTAAAATTGTTATTTTACAGCTCACCTCTTCATTGAAAGACCTTGAATAGGGTTGATATTACTTTCAGATATCAAAAGAAAAAAAGTAATTGGTACCAGCACATTGTCTGCTTATTAATATTTCAGGTTTACCTTTGTTGAGAAAAATGATTTATTCCCACTGTGTATTGGAAGGAAGTAGGTTTAGCACAATCACACACTTACTTAAATTTAAGTTCAAAAACATTTTAGGTTATTTAGTCTTATGGAAGATTTCTCCTACAATATAATAGATGGCAGTTTTAGTTGGCTAGGTTTTAAAGACCCAGATACATGAACATCATTCATGTGGGACTGAAACAGGATGAACAGTTTCGGGAATAGGACTGGCAGGGTGAGCCTGAGCCTCTGGGCTTTGCAGAAGAAACTTTGCATCGGGCATAAGCAGGGGTAGTTTTACAGGGAGAAAACACAGAACTCCTCAAGCTGATCATGATCAGATGAGGAAAAAAAATAAAAATATTTTGAGTGATTGCTAATGGAATTAGTCTTAATTTTCAGTTTCAGCACTGAACTAGTACTGCTTGTATTTAGGCTTGTGCTTAGGAGAAGAGAGTGGGATGGGGTTGTACACAGGACTGTGATGCTGTTCTACCCTCCTGTGAACTCCACATCTCTTCCATGCGCTGAGCCAGCTGATGTGGGCTGGGTTATTTTTTTATCCATCTGCAATACATCCATACACATCACATTAAAGTATTTCTTGAACAAAAGTGGGACAATTTCAGTCATGGCTATGCCCTAAAGGGAACCAAAAACATTGTGGTTTGACTTCTCTGTCATGTCATGATATAGCATATGGGGCAGTTGTGAGAAAAATTCCTTCCACCTCCCCTGCATTTCACCTCCAGAAACACCAGCTACTGTCTACCCTATACAGAACATGTTATTTTTTGCTCACATACCACCTCTTTTCTTCTGATAGTTTTATAGTTTTTAAAAGCTCACTAAAGCTGCTTCTTCCTTCTCACGTTCCATTTAACAGATATTTTAGCTTTATAAATCTTTCCTTTTGTCTACAACACAGGTTGATTTTACTGCCTACTCTCATTGTCCCCAAGCCTATATTAACAAGCCACAGTAGGAGAAATCCTAACAGATCCTGGCAGGTTGCCTAAGAGGGAGCAAGTGGTACCATCTGCTAGAATAAATCAAATTGCTACAAATTCCAAGACTCATAGACTGTCAAAATTTTCATTGTTGCAGAGTTAAATAGGGTAACTTTTGTCTCAGAAAGCTACCTGTGCAGTGTTCAGAGCATGTGGATGTACTAAACTGAAAAACAGGAAGAGCAGCAGAGTATCCAGCTGACCAGCTTCCCAACAGTAACCCTTCCTGGTGGAACTGGCTGCTGGGAATGTAGGTGATTTGTTCCTCTTTGCATATCTCTTGGTTCCAGACACACCTGGAGTTAAATTTTAGTGCCACACCTGTAGTAAGTGTTAGTGCATTCAGTGTCTGGTCTGAAGTGTGCTTAGTTTCAAACCCAGTGTTACAAGACAAGAAAGGTAAATTTGGAAAACATTCATATCTAGGATATAGACCTTCCATTTTTTTGGTGCCCCCAAATCTATGTTTATATATACATGTAATATATATATACACACATAATATATATATACATACATACATATATTATATGGGCAAATACATGGGTTATTTATGTCATCAGTGCTCATGCGTTGATGATAAGCGGTTGTTGAAAGTGTGTTCAGCTTAGAAAAAATAAAAACACTTCCACTCTGGTGCTTATGGTTGGATTAAAGGTACGTAATTTTGCCTGAGGAGTTTATTTCTGGAGTCCTGAGAACAGCTTAATACATTTAGAAAGCTAATTTTTGAAACTGCTGGAAAATGTCAGTCCATAGACTGTTCATTTACTGTGTATACAGAATGTCTTATTAAATCATACAGTAATCATAAAAGGTGAAAACTTCATTTGACAATAAATACAGTATTTATGAATAATTTATATAGGAAGTAAGGATGTATTAGATGAAACAGTATTCATATTTTCTTTGGAAAATACAAATTGGTCATTAAATGAATTAGACAGCTGTTAAATATCTGTTGGTTTTAAACTCAACCAAAACTTGGTTGAGTTTAAAAAATGTACATAAAAATGTTTAAAATGTACAAATTAAATAGCTATTCACTATTTCATATTTCATATTCAAATGTTATTCATTCCTGTAAAGACAAATCAAACTCCCTCTGTTAGGCTGTGGGGGTATTTCCTGTAACTTTCCTGTAACTTCTCCTCAGAATTAGCTTATGACGACATAGTCACAATTAAACCTTCTGTTTTGAAATGAAATAGCTAAAAAAATCAACAACATGCTAAGGAAAAGGGACTGTGCACTGCAATGAGAATTGAACTTTTCTTTATGTAGAGTAAGGCCAAGTCCGTCGGACTTGCTTAGGTCCCCTGTGCTGGTATGTAGTGTAGGGGTTCTGCTGGGGGGTTGCATGCTGCACTTGGAGTTGTCACTTCCCCCACATGCCATGCCTGGAGCACTGCAAACGTTCAGATATTACATTAAGAATATAGAATTAATCCTTACGAGTCTGCTCTTTCATATTTTAAGATCTAGGAGCGCTAGAGAAAATATATGATGACACTGAGTGTATGCAGCCACTTTCTTTAGTATTACAAACCTGTATGGCTGACATAGTAGTGGCAGCGCCAAACAGCAGGTATTGCTTTCTCACTGGGCCTCTTGAACTGCTTATTGAGGAACACAAACACACTTGATAAAAAGGAAAGAAAATCAGTACACGTTTTGGTCACATGAAGAGGCAACAGTGGTAAGTCATACGCCCAGGGGGGCTGAAATCCCAGGCTCTCAGCAAGGTGGGTGTCCTTAAGCAAATCTCTTAAGGTCTTTGCCCTGAGCTACCGTTTATACACCAGTAACATGCATGTAGTCTCTTCATAGTTAGGTGATAGAGATACTTTAGGAGGTCCTTGCTGGATGTTCTGTCATTTGTATACACTGTGTATAGTATTATTTGGATATTTGGAGTTACTGTCTGTTCCTTGTACTTACTGAAGGTGATATTGCTACTTTTTTTTTTTAATATTATTTTTATGTGAAATTAGGGCCACAATTTATATACATTAATAAGCACAGCTTTCAAAAAATGGCAGTTCGTAAGAGAATTTTGTTTTGATCTCTTCATACAATTTATCTTACAATTTCTGACAGTTCCCTAAGCACCTGCTGTTGAAAGTATAGGGAGAAGTGGAAAAGTCAAGTGTCATAAATAAGAAAAGATGGAACTGATTTAGGCCAAATATCAGCAACTATTGTACTGAATGCTAATATCAAACTGCAATACTGCACTGGTAAGGGCTTTCAGCAGTAGTGCCAATTCATGTGTTAAAAACATCAGGCTTTCTCTCCATCTGCTCCCCTCCATGCCATTCTGCTTGATGGCACTCAAAGCCTTTGTCCTCTCAAGTAACAACTGACTTGTCTGCCACTTTAGGGTGGCCTGTAGGCTGATGTTCTGTCCTTCAGGATATGTACTTTAATGCAGCTGTTTGTCAGTGTCTGAAGTATTTTCTTTGTGCAACAACACCGCTCTGAAACGAACTGAATAATCCAGTCTGAGGGAGCCAGGGAGAAATGAGCACCATTTCTGCTTGCCTGGGACAGTCTCCAACACCCAGAATCAGCAAACACACTGACAGTATCTCTAAAAGCAGTGTGGTGAGAGACAGAGATAATGCACGAGCAGGAGATATGCGGTTCAGCTCTGGAGAAAAGTGTATGGAAACTCTGAAGTGTACCAGGAGAACTGTACAGATCTCTGTTCCCTGTCAGAGCAGATTCCGGGACGGAGCTGCAGCCTGTGGAGAGGAGCCCACGCAGGAGCAGGGGTCTGGGGGGAGCTGCCCCCAGCTGTGGGGGACCCGTGCTGGAGCAGTTTGCTCCTGGGGGATGGACCCCGTGGGATGGAGCCGTGTGAGAGCAGTGCTTGAAGACACTGTGGGAAGACCACACAGGGTCAGTTCAGCAAGGACTGCATCCCGTGGGAGGGACCCCACAGCACAGGGGACGAGAGTGACTTCCCCGTCCTTATCTCAACCCTTGAGCCCTTTCCATCATATTTTCTCCCTGTTCCTCTTTGAGGAGGGGGAGTGAGAAAGCGATTGTGGTGGTTTTTACTCCCACCTGAGTAAAACCACCACAGTGGCCAAGAGACAGTGCTCCTAGGAGGGAATAATCCACTCTTGATTTTACTCTCTGAGCTCCCACCTTTAAAATGAAGATGTTATCTACTTTGCAAAGGCAACGTTGCATAGGCAAGGTGCAAAAATACCTACACTATGTATCCATCATTCCAATACTATGGTGAACTTGAACAAGCAGAAGCTGTTTCTGATTCTGTTCAGGTTGCTGCTTCTTTGGATTTTATGACTCATCCTCAGGTAATTACTGACATGCAGGATCACATACTAGCTTTAAGCTTTTAAGAGACTTTTTAGCAGCTAGAGATAATCTCACTGCTACCTGGCATCTCTCCTGCATCTCTCCTGGAATTACACTGATCCAGGCTCAAAGAGACCAGAATTGGCTATAATGATGTGACAATGTCAGATGTGGTTATAGGCTATAAATAACTAACTGCAGAGTTATCATGGACCAGCAAAAAATGGGCCAGGAGTACCAAGCTGGTGGGTGATATGCGGGCTCAGCAGAATTTATTTAAATATTTCAGTGCATGGCAGCAGTCTCTTGTACCCTGAGGACAGAAAAGGTTTATTTTTCTGCATCAAAGGGGAGGAGAGTATTTCCACTCACCTTCAGCTTTCTGCAGTCATACAGTTGTTAAAAAATTGCACTCTAAAAGGGGAAAAATACTTATAAATCAGATTACTGATTTTAATATATCTGATAAAAAATTATGCTTTTGGGAATGGAACTTGGTTGACTGCCTTGGCAAGAAGTCATTGGCAGATGTGCAAGAGAAAATGCCAGAGTTAATGTAGATGTGAACAAGAAATTCCTGTAAATAGTGACCTGCAGAGGTGATCCCATCAGCGGGGCACCCATCAGCGAGGCTTGTTGGCCTTCCCTGAGCTGTCTGGTTTGGGGGAGCTGCAGGGGAGCACTGGGGGCCAAACTGTGAGCTGTCAATATTGAATCCTCTGCAAGGCTAAGTGTTGTGTCATCCACTTCAATTTTTTAAGTGTTGGGAGCACTTAACACAGGGCTGTGACATTCATCTATGTTATTTCATTACAGAAACAAATGTTGCTGTTGTTTAAAACAAATCATTTGCATGTGAAGGAAAACAAAAGTGAGAAGGATTTAATGGGATTCAGCAAGATGAAAATTAAGAATTTCAGTCACAAGCTTTAGATCCCTCACGGCCCTCACAGCACTGATTACAATTATTATTTTTTTTTCTCACAAGTTTAGGTGTATTGGCTATCCCTTCTCAGCCATCTATGGAGATCTTGCTTTCTTGTGTCAGAAGCTAAATCTGGGCCTGACAGAGCTTCACATAAGTAACTGCAAGTATTTTGGAGTAGATTCTGGCAAAGAAACCATACAACTATTTACAGAAATAATTGAGGAGTTTCTATTTTGTGGAAGTATTATCTCTGTTCAGTAGTGGAGGAAGAGTTATATGCTGCTTTGCTTATTGTATGAACATCCTGTGACAGTACAATAGTGAAGGAGGATTTATAAGATATCTAGAAAACTCCTGTAAAGTCCTTTTTGCTGATTGAAAAGTGATCCATGGTGACTGTAGGATTAGGAATGGGTGTACAGTTTTGTCCTGTAAGAAAGTAAGTAAGACAATGGCTTGGTAACAAGGGAACTTGATATTAGAACAAAAAAATTAAGATGTAAAGAAAGCCAAGGATATTTCTTAGACTTTAGAACAGATTTTTTTTTTCCACTCTAAAGTTTTTTTTCTAGCTTACATTTTACTTTTTTTATTTTTTTTTTTAATGTGTTTGTAAGTTGTATAATGTTCTCAAGTATTTATATATAAAAAAATGTAATTGATAAAGAAGTTTTGGGGGCTTCCAAGAACCAAGTTCCAATTTTAAATTGCCTTTAGTCCGAGTGCATACATTGTTTTGTACTTACATCTAAGGTGCAAGCCAGGTTTCACTGGGGCTGAATTTGAAATGCTGTTATTGGAGACAGCATTTTTGAATACCCGACTGTGGTCACTCAATTAGAAGACTTTGTGGCTTCTAGTGTCCTTATAATATTATATTTATTCTTCATCTACTGTTCCACATTTTTTAATGTAAAACCTTTAAAATTTCTGGAAGTTAACACTCAATTCTTACTAATCTTATTATGTCTGCAATGATATCACTTGCTCTTTGCTCATCGTGTAACATCTGTAGAGGAGCAGGTAAAAGAATTGGTAGAACCATTTCAGGTTATAGGTAAGAGGTATTGGTACAAAGATCCACCAATGTTGGCTTTTGTACACAGACAGGGAGCCAAGTATTCTTCTTTGTGGACATCTGTGTCCATCTCATTTAGTGTAATCTTACTGTATTACATTCCCAAAGGAAAAGGTATGCAAATGATAGATCCAAATCCTTATAATGCTCATATGATTCCCCCTTCCTACTCCTTGCAATTTTATTGTCCTGTGAAAGAAAATACCACATGACTCGCAGCATACTCAGAACAAGGAAAAATCACAATATGGGTAAACATGGTGCAGAAAAAGAAAACATCTTTCCTTCAATAGTTTCACTTACTCCTCTCTCCATGGCTTCCTCCATGATCAGCTGTTGTGTTTTGGAGATTTCCTTAATTGTAATCCACAAAACCATTCCAGTGGAAGGATGACTCTACACTGCCAAGCCTGGCAAAAGAATAGATACAAATGATGTTTTATTGATCCTGCACTCTCCAACACTGCCATACCGAAAGTAGTTTCAGGATGGGCAAGGTTTCATCTCCAGTACTGTAATTTACTACACGTTTTTTGTGGCCATGTTTTGTGTGATGACCGAGCGATTCTCTCTTTTCCTTCAGCCGCGGTTAGGTTTTCCTCTGTCCATCAATGATCATTGCAAATCAGTGATGTGTGCCATTCAGAATGACTTAATCAATGCTTGTTTTATATTAAATGCTTTAAATAGTAATAATAATAAAAAACATATTTATGCTCCATTACTACCAGATGCATACTGAAACAAAAGGTAGAGAAATGCGGAAATGCTGTCTAAACTTGCACTGGGAACAGTCACACTACTTTGATCCTTTTCTGTTCAGCATACATGTGTACATGCGTAGACCCTCTAGACTCCTGTTTAGAGCCTGGCAGCTCGGTGCCTCACCTCTTCCCATCATTTGACTTTGCAGTCAGTGGCTGCTGCTCAACTCTTTATTTGCAGTAAGTTGTGGTGCCAGGTTACCACGTATTTTTTCCATGAAAGCTGTAACTTTAAAACTGTGCATCCTCTTTCCAGACAGCCTGCCTGTGACTGGCACCTTTCAGTTAAAGGCCTGCTAACTTCACTCCTTGCTTTCTGCATTTACACCAAAGAATTGCTTCAGTGGTGGGCTATAGGCTCATTGACAGAGCCAAAGCAAACGTAGGCCAAAAACATTCAAGGGAGAATTTCAGGCCTCAGATTATTCTTCCTAGCAAGTTTATATAGGTAATGCTTCAGATTATCAGCATTTGCAGCTGTTTGAATAATAATTATTCCCTCAGAGGGTTTATTTCATTCCTGTCCATTTTCTGCTCATTGCCAAAGAAGCTAAACAGTGTTTTGAGGAAGGTCCAGATCACCAGGTCAATTTTGCACAGCAATTGTTTTTAAAATAAGACAGACAGCATCACAAAACAACTTCTGGGAATATATACATCTCAAGTAATGACCTGTGAGTAAACCTTTGCTCTGAATGTAAGCCCACACCACAGGGCCGTTTGATGCAGCCAGAAAGCTTTCTAATTAGCTTTAATATTTATGTCAATTTTTGAAAAGGAGATTCCAGCAGGTTCAGTGAAACGTGCCTTGCATAACTTATTTTTTCACCTGTTTAAGCTGTAGGGATAGATGCTCATATCATAAATATCTCTCTGAAGGAAATGAATTTGTTGTACCCTGTCCTGCACAGCCTGTGAACGAGCTCACAGCCTGCAAACCAGCGTTCAGTTGCCTTAGCAGTGCATTTCAGACACTTCTCGTCACACAAACCGTCCTCGAGGCAAGCAGCTCATGCCACCCACGGTAGTAAGACAGGCTCACAGCTCTCCTGTTCTGAGGACGGCCTGTGGGGTACTGGCCATTTCCACCTCCTCAGCTCTCTGCCAAGAGCAGTAATTTGGATTAAAAACAAATGAAAACAATCTAATTAGCTTATGTTTTATGCTCTGACTGGAAAAGTTATGACTTACCAACAGAGAGATGGGCGTTGGGCACACAGTGGAGTGCAGTCGCTTCCCATCATCGGCGTGATGCTCCAAAGCTAGGTGCCTTCAGCTGCTTCCCTCTCTGTGAAGCTTCAGCTCTCAGCAGTGCTCAGAATATTTTTATATCCCCGCTAGGCACAAGATTTCACTGGCACTGCTTCCAGTTGCTGGCCTTTGACAGACAGCAGGACAGCCCCTGGCAGAGCCAAGGATGCTTTGTCTTTGGAGCCCCGTGACGTTGCTGCAGCAGACGAGTCACCCACTTGGTGGATGCTGCGATCCGATGGGCTTCGGTCCCTAACTCCTTCCTGCCTGCACCTTGCTCACTGGTAGCTTTGGGTAACACTGCAGGTATCCGTTAAAATCTGTGATGTCCTGGGAGAGATAGGCTCCCTGCTTTTTGCCTCTGTCTATCCTTTTTTTTTTTTTTTTTTTTTTTTTTTTTTTGTGCTAGATGCTCACTGAAGATGCGTGGTAAGGTGTCCCTTCCAGGATTGGCTTGGCTTCTGGCTGAAATCTCCCTAACTCTCATGTTCAGAAAGCTGTGAAAATTGTCCAGGTGCAGTCCTTAGCATCTGCCTCTTCCAGGGGAGGTGGCCCCAGGGCTCGGTGCAGAGGTGACTTTGTGCTGCGGGTGAAGAAGTGCTTCTCTGCTGGGCTCATTTCCTGCAGCGTGGTGAGGTGTTACAGGGAGTGTGACCTGTACGTTTAGAGCCAGAAAGGAGTATGCTAGACCTTCTCTATGCAGTTTGGTTGCATGTGTAAGTGTACATATGCAGACTCTCACTTCCGAGGGTGGGCAGATTGCTGCTTCACCTCTTCCCTTCATTTGATTTTGTGGCTCAGGGCTTCTGCTAACTGATTACATTTGCAACTATTACCAGCTGCTCTCAGTTATAATTTAGTCTTGTTAGACGCTTGCTGTGATGTAGGCAGAAAACAAAACAAAAAGACAGTTTCTTATCAGATCATAATAGTCTTACCTCATGAAACCTTTCCAGTAATTACCTTGCAGCTAGGCAATAATGTGCTCTGATGCTATAATATAAATGGAAGCGTGAAATCCAGAGTAATATGAGACAGCACATGGGCACAGCAGACATTGTCTCATCTCTAAAACATCACTCTATCCCTACTGCAAGAAAAATAAGTTAATTTTCATCTAAACTCAGAGAAACTCTGATTCTTGTCAAGCTTTGAGCATTTTAATTTGTGCAAAGTTCTCTTGGCAGTGCTTCTGACTTAATAAATGACACGCTTTTGTGCGAGATAGGCAGATCAGAAAGGCTGGTACTCCTGACAGTACATTTCCTCCTAAATTAATGTTTAAGCGTCCTGAGGGAAGTAAACATATTTTGCATAAAGTTAGAGGTTGCTCATGTTAATGTAGAAACCTGTGTAATAATTAACTGTAATTAACAGGGCCTGCTAAAATAAACTGCGAGGTGGCATAATCCAGTGTCACTGGGAGATGGGCTCTGAGATAGGAGGTTGGGTCACTGGGTAGCAGACAAGGGTAAGGTAGGGCTTGGCCTCCAGAGATAAAAGAAGAAAAGTAAAGCTTGAATTCATGGCAGGTTACCAGGGAAGCCTTTTAGATTTCAGATTTCAGGCATAAAGCACTGAGCCGTGTTTACACTGGGAGCCTAAAGCAGTTTTTAAGCTATGATTAGCTTTGTCTGGAAGGAAGGTGAGAGGTCAGACCAAGTAAAACCATGGTTTATGCAAACCTGAAAAACAATCCTAAACTGTGCAGTAATCCTAGTTCTAATATCTAGCTGGCCTAGAAGAAGTGTGAGATGAAACTGCATCATCTCAGTTGGAGAGATGATGGAGAGAAGGAATGGGGATGTGAAGGCTGGGGCTAGAGTGGGGAGTCAAGCTGATGGGGCTCCAGGGTGAAGAGGAGTTTGTGCAAGGGAAAACAGAGCCTCTGTCCTGTGTGTCGGCTGGAAGCTCACCAGTGGGGCTAGGAAATTCCTCTGTGAAAGATGGAGGTGAGACTGGGATGTAGGTAGGGTTGAGGATGAGATTAAAAAAAAAAAAAAGATTAAGGCACTGATTTGTTTCAGACTGACTCGAGAAATGATGCTAAATTCAGTTTCTGGGCCACCTTTTGCTTTGGGGCTTAAATGACAAAACTGGGAAAAGGCTGGTGTTAAGGCTGGGGTACGAGGTAGGATTTGCTTCTGCTAATGCCGTGAAGACTTGCTGACAAGTTGGTTACACAGAGGTGGCCAGGCTGTGCTGGGTGTCAGTGCCAGTTTGTGTCACCGCAACACGGGTACAGGTGGGACTGGGTGGAGCGACCAGAGCAGAGAGAAACTGAGTGTTTGCTTCCAGTGAGCTTGCTGAAGAAAGTGTGGAGAAGCTCAGATGCTGCAGCTCGCCCCATATGAATGTGTAAATGTAAATTAATGCTGATTAGGATTTTTCATGAGGCTGAGCTAGGACCACAGGTAAGCACTACTCAAATATTGTTTCCTTTGAATTTGCTTGGATCTTGGCAGACGCAGCAGCAGCAGAGATGCTACGGACGCACCCTGCGTGCACTGACCTTTCAGCTGTTTGCCTGCTGTGTCACGCGCTGTATCCTTCTGGGCCCTGGAGCATTCCAGGACGCTGGAGGCAAACCCAGGTAGAAGTATAAAAAAATCAATGCTCTTGATTTCAAAGAGCAGCAAAGACATGAGTCAGTCACAGAGACGTCATTCCTGAGTACCCTCCCTGTTGTGTTCAGCCATAATTTCATTGGAAATCAATCCTAAGCGCTATCTTAGAGGGAGCTTCTGACTCTATTTTTTCCCATTTTCTTTGAAGTTTCTTCATGAAAGCTGTAAAAAAACAACAAAATTTGTGGGCAAACAGTGGCAGCTGATGGGTTAATTGAATGCCTGGCTTTGGAAGGACATGACCTAGCAAAAAAAAAAAAAAAAAAAAAAAGGCTGGAATAACCCTTGCCTAATCATTGGAAAATCATCCTGGCTAACTGTCCAGCCTGACCACATCCAGTGGGCAACCCTTGGAGGATAGCTGGTTCTCATAGTACAATCTAAAACTAAACTAAAAGGCAGGGCCAAGTTCTGTTGTTTTTTACACGTGCTCTGTAATGGTCTATAGACTACTAGTAATCTTTGGTCTATAACGCACCACTGATAACAGTGAGGAAGGTCTTGCGGCTGAATCGGAGAACCTGAAAGTCAAAATTTCTAGGTTTCCACCTCTGCCACAGGCATCCTCAGAAACTTTGGGCAAGCAGGTTGAGACAAAAGCTTTGTTTGTTTGTTTGTTTGTTTTTAAAAAGTCATTGTGATTACACGCTAGTACTCACCCACGTGAACGTGTTGGTGTGCATAGACAAAGCTTGCATGTGCCTCTGTTAATTTGAGCCCTATTAATAAAATTTTGTCTCAATCTACTGAAATTAAAAACATCAAAACAAATACATACATAGTCTATGGCAGTTTATATTAGACTGTGTTTTTGCTTTGTTAGAATCTGCTCATGCGTTTCATCACATTTTGGAAACCTGATGAGTCACTGCATTTGTAATGATCTTTGTTAAATTGTTGTCTTCTATTATGTCATCTGCACTTTGCACAGTATGTGAAGTAACTCTGCCTTCATTTGCTTTATCATCAATCATGACAAGTAAAAATTAAAAACAGAAGGAATCATCATGTCCACAGAGCATAAGGTTTTGTCGATGGACTGAGGGGTGATGCCTCTTTGGTTCTTTGCCTTTGCTAAGTAGCACAAAGCCTGCTTGCCAAGGATAAACCCCAGAGGAACCACACATCTACGCATTTGTTTTTTTAAAATATAATCAGTAAGAGGCCACTCAGTAGTGACTCATAGTTGAATCTAGAAAGATCAGTGGTTGATTCCTCAAGGACTTGTCAGGGAGGAGGACTGTCAAAACCAGCCATGTGACTGTGAAGCGCTGCAGAGGACATACAGCTCAGGTGTGTGGCACCAGGGAAAGCAGGATGATGTTTTTAGACCTGTGTAATGAGGCGCTGGTCCTCCACTGATCTCACCTACGTAACTAGAGGGTTGCTTTATGCAGTGCATGACCTTTCGGCATGCAAAGATTTTTTTCAGCAAAGGATATTGTTGAGTTGAGGCCTGTCATTCAGTTGACTAGTAGAGAAATCACGAACACGTTCTAGAAGTTTGTAACATGAGAAAACTTTCTGAAGTTTACCCTGCAGAGGTGATTTTCGAAAAAGAATTAATCTTAACTACTTGACCATCAATGCTATGGAAAGACAAGATGTTATCTTAAGCTCTTAATATTTGTTTTAAAATAGCCTGGATGGAACAAAATGTAAAGAAAAAATATATTCCTTCCCTTTAATTAAGAAAGTTGAATTGGTAACAAAATTGTGTCTGGCCTTTCTGGGCTAATAAGGCAGCAATCTCTGCCTTTGTATCTCTGTGAAGGGTCAGGTAAATTTCAGAAGAAACTCACTGTGCTGAGTTGTCTATGGGAGCAGAGATCCAGGGAAGCTGAATTTTAAGGCAACTTCAGTAATGAGTCAATGAAATTTTTCCAGCCAGCTTGGTGAAGTCTACCTGCTGGGATCCTTGAGGAAAGGAGCATGAAATCAGCATCCTTTACAGTGCATGTAACCCCTGCTGCCTGGGCTGCAGGAAGCACTCGGGATGAATATTTTGGTAACCGGCAGAATTGTCAAGGCAACCTGAGAGGCTCGACACCCCTCCCCTAGGTTTTTTTTTTTAAAGCAGAGGATTCTTCCCATATGTTTGACTAGTTACATGTGTTAGCTGGGACAGAAGAAAATGCACTGCTTCTTGTGAAAGGAAAACTGTGACAGGAATAGTAAAAACCACAAGCAAGTACTTTTGTATTCTTACTGACGAATGTAATATGGGTTGTCTCCTATTGTAAGGAAATTGAAGGCTTGCAAGCAAAAAGAAAGCCATTTTTAAAAAGGACCTATTTTCTATATATTTTTTTTTTATAACAGCAAAGAGAAGAGGCAGTGTGATCAGTGACAGTGGAACAAGAACCAGTGCAATTAAATTTTATTACTCCTGGAGCTCTTTTGTTCCTCTCAGCATACAGTCATGACTGAAATTGAGGAATGGTTATGGGCTGGAGGGAGCGGAGTGCCTTCTAACACCTGCATGTGCAGAATCAATATTTTTCTCTCTGAGTTATATTCTGGCTCTATAAATTATTTTATGTTTCATCTCATGAGTCCTTTTTCTGGGTGAAAGCTCTGCTGTGATTTTCCTATTTGGCACCTGGTGTATCTCTTGTTTATGGTCAGTACTCCGTGAAACTCCAGTTCTTTGCTACCATTTTGAGTGGTATAGAGGAACTTCACTTTCTGTGTATCTTCTGGTTAATGCCTGAAGAGAATTTATCATTGTCTTTGGAAAGGAAACCATTTCAGTCTTTAGTTCAAGCCTGACACATTTTTGAGCATGCTGAATACAACTGTTATAACTGAGTGTTTGTCTTGTGTGTGCAACCACATACACCGACCGAGAAAAAAGGAAGACCTCTGAACACATTCTGGGGAGACCTAGCAGCAAATACTCTGCATACAGCTGAAGTGGTGCACTGAAGTTTGACACTTTTGACGTCTTTATTCCACTTTTCAGCTCCGGTGTATTTCCTCTGGTGATTTCTGAGTTTACAAAGGTGCATGGGGCTGATGAGATGCTGGTTTCCTCCGCAATAGGATCCTCTTCTGCACATCTGGGGCTAATTCCCGAACGCTGAGGAGGCCATTTGCTGCCCTTGGAGCTGTGCGGGTGATGGAGTCTAGGTCCTCCTAGGAAGAACAGAAAAGAAACTTAAGCCTGGTCAAAGTTGTATTAAAACTTTGTCATTGATTAAAGGTGCCTTTCATTTGCACAGACTTATCGCTGCAAGTTTTCAGTGACTCAGCAAACTGAGGGTTTTGGCTGTCAGAATAAAACAGTCTCTTGTGGCGCAATGCCAGAGTTTGGTGTGCTTTCACTTAGTGTTATCAGAAACTGAAAGTCAATAAAATTTATAGCAGCAAAATTTACCGACGTGGCCATGACCTTGCTGGAGAAAGTTCTGTATTCAGCAGTGTCAGCAGCTGTCTCCTCTCTCTTCTCAGTAGCTGAGTCCTCTCTGTGGTTTGTATCTAACTGCCTCTTGTGCACGAGGAAAAGGGTGGAGTTTCATGTAATTTTGAATTGTAGTCTCCTAACATGGTACAATTTAAACTACATTATACATTATAAAAAGACTCAGTCTTGTCTTACCAAGAAGTGCAAAACAACAGTTC